AATTTGCTCAATGGAAACGCGTCAATTTCGAAAAATTACGATTTTCAACAAAATGTTTTTGCGCTAGGATGAGGTGGTTTTTCGACTGTATCGAAATTGGTGTTTTTCGCAAAACTGCAATGGAAACACTTTTTTCGGATCACGGGAGTCACGTGATCAACAACCGGCAGTTTAAAGTAGGGGCTTGTTGCTGGAAAGCCTCGATAAAAGACGCCGACGTCTCCTCTGATGATGAGCGCTAGTGTGATAGCAACATGCTATGTGTTTACATCCATTGCCGCCATGTTTGTAATGACTTTTCGCGAGAACAAACGTATTCACGCGTGACTTTAATAGGATTTCTTACTTAACGGAAACAATGCAGTTGCAAAACTGTGTTTTTTCGACATTAACAGAATATCGACAATGTTTTGCGCACATTTGCAATGGAAACGCTGCTAGTGAGTGACAGCAAGCAGAAACAGATGACTGGAAAAAAAACTATCATTTCTGATATCTCAATAAAAGTTTAAACCACAGAATATGACAGAAAAAATGGTAAGTTTTTTTGGAACACTATGGGGTCATTTTTGCACCCCACCAGTTTATCTAGCACAATGGAGCATTTGGACACAACATAATGGACATGAGAAACTCAAAGGGCTGCAGTCATGTGTAATTTGTGAGGCAGACTTTGCCTCCTACTAACCCTAACCAGACCTCTTTGCCCCCGTCCTCTCAGTTTAGTGTTAAAGTATACACTGGACATGGGGGCAGAAGGGGGTTTTAGACCAGGTCAGAGCAAAGATCAGCAACTAATTACAGAGCTGAAACACTCAGCATCTGTTAGATTGTGTAGAAAGTATTAGAGGAAGGGGGAACATGTGCCTCCCTGGTGAATTGCACAGAATTAGTTGAAGCCAAGGTCACAAACAAACACAAACACGGGGGTGAACAGCCACAAAAACACACACACACACACACCATTCTTCTGTCTCTCTTGTGCTGGTGAGCTCCCTTCCCTCTGCCTCACTCTCTCAGGGGCAACAAGCTTCCATTAATTTCCTGAATGAATAGCCTACCAACTGGTTAACAGTTATTTAAGGACGCTCGCATTTTATGCACACTGCGTGCTCTGTCGTATTAATTACTTTTACTGTAAGGCTTTAAGGAATTTTTAAGGCACAAATATAGCGCATCCATTAGAGCAACATAAAACAAAGGGATCTGTTAGGACGTTGCTTGTTTTTCTCATTAAATCCCCACCAACACAAGTCAGACTATTAAATCTTAATTTCCATTTAACTAAATACATAATGCCAAAGCCTAAACTGAAATGACCATTCTTTAAAGTGTTACATCCAGGGCATTAATTAACATTTTGTTGTTAACCAGCAGCTCATAAAACACATTTTTATGACTAAGTAACACATATTTTAGAACGTGTCAGAACAGAGGGTGATAAGTAACAGTAGTGCTGCTGAAGCTACCATCAGCTGGCACAATTGGAAATGACAGATGGCTCGACCGTGACCGCTGAGAGCCCGGTCGATTAGGAGAGCCGGTGGCCAAAAGGCTTTGGGATGAAGTGACGAAACAAAATGAAGTTTGGTGCTGGAGTCTGTATGCAATTATCTGCTCTCCAAACACTCAGGCCTGCTTTAAAGAAAATCACATTCCCACGGAGCCCACCAGGGATCCTGATCGAATTAACATTTGAAGCGGTGAACATCCGTTCTGTTTATTAAATCGTGAGCATGGATTCAGAATCAATTCCTTCAGTTTAGTTCATTTGTGCATGCAGATCGACTAACAGCCATCTTTCTGGTTGAGAGCAAGCAGCTGATCTTCTTGGACAAATCCTCATTTCCAGGTTTGCTAACTTGTTTTAGTTGTTCTAAGGTTCAGACTGATTCAGTGTTATTTTGAATCTGTGCATCTGGTTCAAACTGAGGGAAAGAATGAAAAACTACACGTAAAAACTTTCAATCTGTGGGAACTGATTGTAAATCCAYGCACAGGCTTCTTAATCTAAAGGCCTCCACATATTACATCCAAACTGCCAAAATCGATGTTTGTCACATTTGCGTGAGGACAATTGTGTCATTTTGTTTGAAGCTTCCAGTCTTCCACCCCATCTTGTTACAACCCCCCACCACATATGAACCTACTGTGCAACTGGTCTGTGGGCCGGTTTGTTTATGCTGAAAGCACTCAGCTGCTGTGGTTTGCTTCAACTACAGCTTCCAGAATTTGACTGCTGCACCCAAAAACAGACATTGACAAAGACAGTAAAATAAATAAAAACTCATGAAYGAAGAGAGCACAGATGCTGTGCACAGAGGAATTCGTGGTACTTTATCCGAGGCAGATTTGTGGACAAATAACCCCCCTGGAGTGTGGACACCAGCAGGAAGAAACCTCATGCAATGGCGTATACTGCAATGGGAGGTAGGATTTTGAAGGTGGGTGTCATCACTTTAAGCCAGAACAACCACACCCCCCACTTACGAAGCTTATGAAATTTACGTACCGTATTTATTCATGTATAATACGATCTCATGTATAATACGACCCCCCCTTTTTTGAGCTTAAAAAGCATAAAAACATTTCAATCCTCAAATTACCTCCAATTTCATACAGACTTCAAGATTTTTCAGCCTTTGCAGTCTTTATACATATCAGTAAAATGATCATTGGACTGTTCATTTTATTTTAACAACATATGTACTAAAAGGTACTGTATTTTGACAACAACTATACTGTATATCAGCTGTAGCAGCATCATATGAATTCTGGCATTTTACACATAGTCCACCAGGAGGCACCAACACAAAAGTCAGAGACTTCATATGAGGTTTGGACCATCTTGTGGGGGAAAAGCAGATTGCTTCCTACTCGCCAGCGTCCCCTCTGGTGGGGAAACGTTTTTTTCAGGGATACAAACYTTTTCAGAACACCGGTAGACGGCAGCCATTACAGACGAACATGTGTTTGTTGTTAGAGGAGCGGCCCGGTCATACGCTAATGTCAATAGTTCATTATCATTACTAAGGTGCAGGAATACTTTTTCCTCCTTTTTTTCACATCATGTCACCTGCCTGGATCTGTTATTATCTCACTCTGAGGCACGGAGGAGTGTCAAAGGTGAGTCGTTTCAACTGTTTTTCACGACGCAGTCTCATTTCCAGACTCAGGCATTTTGTGAATGAAGCCGATATTTCAGTTAAAATACATAAGTAAAAATATTTATCCGAGTATAGCACTACCCCCCAACTTTATGGACGATTTTATGGATTTAATTTTAAGTATTATATTTGAATAAATACAGTAAGTAAAAAAACTAATAGACCGGGAGTGAAGTTTGTGGAAACAACACAAAACACGTCAAACAACCACATGTCCACTTGTTGACTGTTCAAATTCAAATGGAGTATACAGAGGCCTTTAGGCAACTGATTTTTATTACCTCAGACTGTATTTCTTCTTTGAGCGGCTCTGTACATTTCTGAAGCCCATATGAAAAAGTCATGGTGTACACACGAGTTCCATCTGGTTTCATAAGGGTCAGGACCATCAGAACCATTGGCAACACTCAAAACTWTGCATACCAAGTGACTTACTGATGTACATTTACATTTTAATACCAGTGATGGGATAAAATATGGCCATGAAGTGTACATAATGATCATACTAGAAGAAACGTGCCGTTACAGCAGCTTTATGGTCACAAATGATTGTCAAATATTGTCTTTTCCAAATCAGATTTTATATGTTTGCTGGCAAGTTAACATCACCATTCAAACTGTGCTAAACTGTTTTGTCATTAAAAAGCATGAAATTATTTTATTCTGGGATCCCGATTCGTCTTCTAAAGTTACACACAAGCTTACCTGGATGCCGTCCAACAGTTTGCTCATGCACCAGAAGCTGTCAGCCTCAATGTTCCTCAGAGCCTCTTCCTCAAGACTGGACACGTCAAAGTTTTCCACTTCCTCCTCTAGAGGASAGAAAATGAGAGCAATAAAAGAGTCAAGAATTTACCTTGCAAAGAGGAGGAGATGGACAGCAAATGAGCCGGTGAGACGGGTAAAAGAAAAGTGGAGTGAAAGTTCAAGAAATGCAGTGGGAGAAAGAGAGACTAAAAAGGGATTGAGTGCAAATCAAGGCGTCCGGCACAGTGAGCGCTCTGACATAAGCCCGCTATTCAGACGAGCAGGTTACAGGTGTTTGAAGAGGCCAAATTCAAGAGGGAGAGTGGGAGCAAGTGAGAAGGTAATGGGGTTTGTTACAAAAGAGTTGTCTGGGAAGGAACAAAGATGCAGCGCRGGAAGAGCAGGTAGAAAAGCTGAGCGGCTGAGTGATAATCATCTTTTTAAAACAACAGCTCAGTCTTACCTATGGCTCTCTTGAGCGTTTAGAAAATGTCAAAGTGTTTGAGCACAAAGAATAATGAGCACCTTCTTTGTTCGAGGCGGTGAATGCCTTTAACATTTTCAAGGAAAAGCCAAAAAAATGTTTTCACAAGTTCTTGCATTTGAAGCTATATTACCAGCTGAAAACAGAACTAAGCTGCACTGACAGCTAATATTTTACTCCTTTAAGTCGTTTAATTTGTCTAAATATTGGGATTTCAAGGTGACGCGAGGTGGAAGGTAAACTGTCTGTAGATAAGTAAAGCAAAGTTGGGTTTAAACGTATCCTGAGGCACGCCGCAGACTGAACAAAAGAAACAATTTCAAAGCAGCGAGCTGACTGAGTCCCCCGTCATCTCCAGCGGGCGACTGCAGCGACGGGTGTCATCAGATGTCATTAATGGCAGCAGTGTGTGACGGACTGCAGGAGCTCTGACGGGYTTTTGACAAGCCACTGACAGCCAGTGGAGTGAAGATGGGACGAGACTGATTAACAATGATCTGGAGAGAGAAGTGGAGGGGAAAGAAAGAAAAAAGGAGCAGCCAGTAGAGACAAAAAGAGCAAAGTGTGTGTGCGGTCGCAAAGTATAACCAAAAGGGGTACTTTTACGCGTTTAGGTGAGTTTGTGCATTTTTTAAAAGACATTCAAGTACAAATTCAGGACCTGCCAGCTCTGCTTGGTATCCTTGGCAACCCCCGTGGAAAACTGTCAAGGTTTTAATGAGCATGCTCAGTCAAAYGGACAGAAGAGACGGACAGGGAGCTGGCAGTGGGCCAGGACTATAAAGCTAGTACCTGCRAGCCCCAACACTTTCATCAGTGTCTTGTCTGCTTCGAGCCAGCTAAAGATGGACAGACTTTTGAGCAAGCGGGCTTTTGTTCCCTCATCTCAGTCGGACTTTTTTATTCCATCAAACCGGCGGAGAGAGTGGACGCAAATAGAAATCTCATTTTGCACACATATCTAGCAGATCTTTAATACGACACCAGTGTCCAGGAGCTGTGTTGGGATTAGATGTCAGCGTGATTCACACATCAGAAGCCTTGTTTGTGCAAACATGCAAAGATGTAATCTTCTTTGGAATGAGATTAAAAAAAGGCACCACTTTACAATAAGGCTCCCCTTATAAATAGTTATTAATTCATCTGTAGACACTTTATAAATCGTTAATAAGTGTTTATTATTCATTAATTAAGGACGGAAAAGAGACAAAACTGTCTGATTTCTTGCCAAATAGTGAGCCAAATGTATATATCACATCTAAAAGGTGCTTATTAAACATTTCAGACTAGGTTACTACCTTGTAAGCACAATAATTTATTGAAAACTCATATTTTACATATAATAATGTACTGTATTACTGCATTATACATATCCACAGTAATCAAAGGGAGCCTTRTTGTAAAGTGTTGAACAGTATAACGATAAYGTCGTCATAATAGAGCCTTATAAATAGTGTACTGTTTTACACTTTACAATAAGGCTCCATTATGGCATTTATACAAGTTTATTAGTCATTAATAAATAGTGTACCTACTGCCTTACATTTTACAATAAGGCTCCCTTGGACAGTTGTTAATATGTATAAGTAATATAGTTCAATATTATTTTAAAATATGTGTTTCCAATACATAATTGTGCTTATAAACCTAGTAATATGTACAGGAAGAGATTTGGCTCACTATTTGGCGAAAAACCGGACAGTTTTGTGTCTTTCCTGTCCTTAATTAATCCAAAATAAACATTTATTAATGATTTATAAAGTGTTTACAGATTAATCTATAACCTATCTATAAACTATTCATAAGCCATCAATTAGGGGAGCCTTATTGGTTAAGTGGTACCAAAAAAAGKGTAAGAAGTGAATGGTTAAAGAGGAAGAGGTCATCCAAAGAAAGCAGACTATGAGTGAATTTGCCTGAATTTCTGCCACTGATAGTCAAAGACAATCAACTAGATCTAATCGTAGTGTTTGAGCAGCTGCTCTAACTGCACAGAAACAAAAGCAGCCACCATCTGACCAATTTAAACTCCATATTTAATTTAAAATCTCCTCCACGCTGATGGAGAAGACAATGACATTACATAAATATGGGCGTCTCTGTGGGATGCGGCAGCCCTGAACGCTGCTGACGGCATTAGATCTGCAGTTGAAAAGATTAATTGCGAACAGACTGACTAGCCATTCGCGTGGTGTCACTGCTGATTAACAGGGCGGCGAGAACGCCGCTGCTCCGGCGTTTTGGGAGACCCTGAGTATCCCAAAGTCTCAAATCAGTCTTTGTCGTGCTCACGGCCTTGCTGTCGGGCAGAGTCCCAAACCGGGGCCTTGACTCAGGAGCAGATTAGAAGGGACTGCTTCCAAGTGTCCGGTGGTTGCACTGGAATTAGGCATAGCTCATCACAATAACAAGGACACACAAGAGGAAGGGCTACGAGGAAGAGAGGCCATTTAGAGCAGTGACTAAGCTCTGGGCGGTTGTGTCCAGACGACAGGGCAACACTGCCCCCTCTGATCATTAGAAGAACTGACGAAACTCTGCTTTTCATGGATCAGTGCTTAAAATCTAAAATCATTTTCCAAGTCAGGTAACCCAGTCAGCTCTCTGTGCACTGCTTGGACTTTAAAATATCTATGATACTCTCTATATCTGCCTTCACACTTGTAGAAAATTGTTTCAGTTACTAAAAAAAATAGAGCTTTAGGCCACCTTTACTTACAAGACCATAGCAGCTGAAGAAATTGCTAATTACTTTCAAATGGATACTGCGTGAAACGTGGCTCAATAATTATCYTCTGAGGGAGCAGATCCTGACAATCACAGTGAGATGTGAATGTGTTTGACACGGACAACACGCAGCAAACAGAGAGATGAGATCTAAAAGATCAAAAAGCAGGAGCAGACCACAGCCTGGGAGACGCAGAAATAAGAAAAATTGATTAGTTATTGTTTGAAAGCAATTACTTCATTAAACATCTAATGTTTRCAAACTCTTATTTCATCAACTTTTCAGTGTTCAGCCCTGTTTTTGTACATTAACGCTTCTCCCATCTTTTCTCCCTCCTCCCCTGTTCTCTCAGCCTTCTCTGTTGCTACCCTGCCTCTCCAAGCTGTTCTCCTCATTCGCTCCCCTCCCCGCCTCCTCACATCTCTTCCTATTGGCCACGGAGCCAGTTTCCTACCAGGCCCCGGGGCTCATTTCCTGTTTGTCCTGGCGCAGGGGGCAACTTGTCCGAAGGGACCGACGGCGTGGTCGCTGCCAGCTGCGAGCGCTTGGCACAGCTTGGCACGCCGAGCTGGGTTACACCTCCAGAGACGGCGTGCGGGCACCTACATAGTGAGACACGTGCACGCACACACACACATACACACGCCGGGGCCGCCATCTGCCCCTCCTACAACTACGGGCAACAAGGTAATGTGATGTAAGATGATGAACGAGCGAGTTTAGCCCGATGTAATCATGGAGTGTTTGTGCYGAGCGTGTGACGGCGCAGACTGGCAATAAAAAACATGCCAGTCTGACAACCTTCTGTTGATTCAGATTAATCACAAACAAACCCGAGTTGGTGACTGCTGATTTACTAACGTGATTTTGCGTGCAGTAATGCAGTCATTATTTAAAAGTTACAGCAGCAGTTCAGGTGACATCCAACGACTCCAACGGCGTATTTTTTCAGACGTTGCATCCGACACAATCTACTTTTCACCCTTCGGCATGACACCCGACTTTCTCACTTTAAATAAAAAATTGTCACATTACTTCCTACTATTTCCAACCTCTTTGAGCTTTGGCTGCAACAAAAATATGTGATTTCCTCTCAGCGGCACAATTAGCTTGATAACACGGTTACCTCGTTAATGAGAAGCCAACGTTTTCAGAGAGGTGGCACTTATACTGTTGGATAATTAAGAAGAGAGTGAACATGGCAAACCTGATGTCACAGATGCAGGGACACACACACACACACACACACACACACACACACACACACACACACGTTTCAAACCACAGGAGATGAGAGCGCAATGGGAACCAGTTTATAATGGTGTGTGACACCAAGTGTGAAGATATGAAAATAGAGAGATGGAGGTTAAAGAGGGCAGGAAAACAAAGGCTTAACTATTTTCTTTACCTGCCCAGATCAGTATTTTAATCAGATTGTTGATTTGATTCCATAGATTTTACAGTGTTGTATAAAGTACCACAAAGTGATATTTGAGTAAAACTACAAGTATCTTACCAAAAAATACTCTGGTAAAAGTTCAAGTCTCCTTTAGGAATATTACTTGAGTAAAAGTCTTAAAGTATCTGATACTTTTTGTGCTTAAGTATTAAAAGTAAAAGTATTGATTTAAAATGAGCAGTTTTCTGTAAGGACATTTATTAGGAGGTGACCTCCTCAAAAACAGTGCAGAAATGACTGTTGTATTAAAAAAATTAATTTATGTTAAATTTCAGGTGCACTAGTCCAGCTGTTTCAGTTTATGTACATATATCAATGGTGATGTAACCTTTTCTAAAATGAAAATCTGAGGGCTGTGGCCAAATGCAATAATATAATTAATGAGATACTTCTT